GGGTGCTGGGAGGATCAGATTCCGTGAGCAGGTGGCGGGAGGGCGCCACAGGTAGGTTCTACTGTAACCTCTGAGGTCTAACATTATCATATATATGTGTCACGACGTGGTGGAATCAGGCTCTCGTCAGTTTTGGGGCAAATATTGGTAGCGTCTTAAAGCGTGTTCATTTGACTTGCTTTGGATGAAAAAAAAAATCCATTTATCTTGAATACAAGCAGAGAGTTTACAGTAATATTATTGTAAACCCTCTCTAATACAAGTCGAGTTTTTGGCGAATGAAGGAGGTTGGTTTCACTTGGTTTCAGTAGTAAAATTAGTGAGAAAATGGCCGCCAAAGATAAGTTATTTCCTTAGCTTAAGAGTGAGAGTCCGTGGAAACTGAAAATTTACATATTTTGTGCCTTTACTCAACGTCTTTCAGTAAAATCCATACAGAAATGTGTTCTTTAATGGGCATGAAAGTTGTTGAGTCAAACAACAAAAACTGGATTAAAAAATTCACAAACCTGCAGAAAAATGCCAGTTTCTTAACTTTGATTATTTTGATGAGAGCCTGATTTCGCCACACTGCCTAGCTCACATATATACCTCATGTCTTTTCCTCCGTTGTTCCTGTCTGCTGTCACCACCTTTCTTCTCCCCTGCCCTACGTACAAGACCATTATCGTGTCTAAATAATGTCATGACAGATATATTATTATATGCTTCTCCCTTTATTCATTCAAACTGGGACAAAAGAAAATAAAGACTTATCCTGCTAGTGCGGTAACTTGTAGCCTACTGCTGTAATTCTGTCCCCGTCGTTTTGTGCAAGAAAAATTCTGAAATTATGCAAACTGAGCCCAAAAATGTGAAATTATGCGATTCTGTTTATTTTAACAAAGATTGATAAAGGAAAATAATCATAAATTCTGCAAAAAATGATCAAATTTTGCTAAATTATGCGGGGTGCACAAAACAATGGGGATAGGTATAATTATAGCATCGGGTTCTGTTGCTGTCGCTATAATCTATTAATCACGTAGCCCATACATGTTCCCTTCTTTATACAGTTGTCCTTGTGTACTATTAAAAACACAAATCATTAACAAACAACAACAACAACAAATGGTCCACACTCCGGTCGTCCACACTGGTTTCCTCTTCTTTCACTTCTTACTTACCCCCTCCCTCCCCTCCTCCCGATCCCACCACCTCTTTATACAGTTGTCCTTGTGTACTATTAAAAACACAAATCATTAACAAACAACAACAACAACAAATGGTCCACACTCCGGTCGTCCACACTCACATACCCTCCACTATTATCTAGACTTATATATAGGGCCATTCCAAAGAAAGTGATCATATTATAATAATAATATGCAAGGCAGAGATTTTAATTTGAACCTTCTGAAAAAAATGTAAGCAATGATGTTCAAGCTGTTTTTCATTTTCTTTTCTTTCTTTTTTTTTGGTTGTAAATTCGAGGTAGATTAATCGCTGCTTTTGGGGGTTTTCAGTGGGCCACCATCTCAGCATTACTTTCCCTCTGTTGTTTTTGTTTGTCTGTGTGGGTGGCTGGAGGGCGTCACTGGTAAGTCCTACTTCTTCACTTTCCCTCTTTTGTTTCTGGGTGTCTGTCTATTTCCCACCACTACATTATGACCATTACTGTCTCGATGTGCTTCTCTTTGCTCAAACAAACGAACAAATCACTTTCCTTCCGCAGTTTCCGTCTGTCTATCTCACTCACCCCCT